TATATATATATATATATATATATATATATATATATATATATATATGCAAATATCATTAAAAAAAAATTAATGAACACAAAGTTATTGAAAGGTATTGAACTCGTACTTGCAAATCTTTGTACATTGCAAGTTGAGCTTGAAACAAATACAATGAAAATTTATCCTGGAAGAAAAATTTGATCCAACTGTTGAACAATCATTATCAAGTTCGATCATTACTCTTATATGCTGTGGATTCTTGTTACTTTCCAGAGATAAACATAATACGTAATTACATATTGACAAAAGCACATAGCGTAGTACAAAAATAAATCTGATGAACGTCAAGAATCAAATTTCACAATACAGAACATACATTATTTAACCGTATCTGAAATCCTTTACAAAATATATTACTCTAAAGATTTTCATACAGATTCACATCTTATTTTACTTATTAGCTGTCAATACAGAATGTTTTAAATACACTCACTAAGGAAGTAATGAATTTTACATAATATTCACTTATATTGCTTTCTTTGATGAATTTTTTGCTTCCTCTTTTTATGAAGAAAAAAAAGACATGCTTATATAAATCGAAAACATACAATAATTTTATTCTTTATGAAAATCATAGTTTGCTTATGATAGATTAATGCGACTAGAATTAAATTGGTTTTCAAAATTCTTAAACTTTACATCTTTTGTTTCTTAAATTAAAAAGGATCTTATCTGAATTGCACATTTTGATAATATTCATATATTATTATTATTATTATTATATATATATATATTATTATAATATTCATATATTATTATTATTATTATAGATTAATCAAAGTGTCTTATAAACGATAGTATATATAACTTATAAACAATAGTGTCTATATATAAATAATTCGTACATATATATTATTAATAAATATATTTATATATTTAATAATAATAAATATATTTATTTGTTGGATCAACCGGTAGTATATTCTTCCAGTTGTCCGTTTCCTCCCGTTTATCCCTTTCTTTTTTTTCATTATCTCTTTTAGGCTTTTTACGCATGTACGTGCTTCGACCAATAATACGTGGTGCACGTGCATTCATTCATAGAACGTTAACGTATGTTTCAAAGTACGGTGTACAGTTTAGTCGTGATCAAGTAAGATGCGAATACCATGTGTGGCAACCTTGCAGACAAGATGACACGTATGCATAGTCGAATGTGCATTGCATAGTGTACGATTGCTGTCAACTATTGACTGACATCCCATTCATTCATATTGCAGTGATCAATGGATAGTGCGATCGGTCGTACTCTATATTAGAAGTTGATCGTTGCGTAGTTTTTTTAAAAATATGTCAAGCATTATCGATTAAAATTAAGAAAAACGTCTTAATATTCTATTATATTTTATAAAAATTTTTATTTTTATGCTTTAATAGGTAAACATGCAAAAAATTAGAAAAACACAAAACTGAATAATAGAGTCATGATTTGAATACCTCTATGTACAAAAATATGTAAAACGTATGTATATAATATAAAAAGACACACGGAGTATTTGAAGTAAAGTACTTATTTTTAAATACGTAGGTTTCATGTAATTAATAATACGTGGAAAAAATATAAATTTGCATAAAAGTCCGCGATCTATTCATAATGTGTCTATTCACGATTGTTATTGAAGTGAAAAAGAAATTTGTTGAGTA